CTTTAGCATTATTGAACAATGCTTTGGCAGAAATAAATAAATAAATCGAACATGAATCTTCCACTTGAGAAAGCTTAATTGAACATTCCTCACCCATGAAATAGGCGACTGTCTTGCACATCGCTGCTCCAAAGATGAAGTCCTCCAGCAGGCTGGGGATGAGATTAAAGGGCATGCAGAAGATGGCCATCATGAGATCACTAACAGCCAGCGAGAGAAGGAAGGAGTTGGTGACAGTCCGCATTCTCTTGTTTGCTATTAGGACCACAATGATCAGCAGGTTCCCAAAAACACTCAGGAGAAAGACAAGTGAGTAAAGAATAATCCTCACTGAGTCCATTTCTGAGGAGAGAGAAAAAGCCATTTTGGTCAAAGGAAACAATACATTCTCTCACAACACCATTTTTATATATATATATATATTTTAAATTTTCCGAAGGGAAATGTGTAAACATCCTTTGCTATGTACATTTGCATGTCTTTTACTGCACAAACTGATGAGCCGAGGTGTATGTGTTGTATGGTGGGTTATAAGGAGGGGGGTCTGTTTACATGCATCATCTCCTCATCGGGACAGTAATGATGCAGACAGTCCTGAAAAAATGACATTTTTTGATTTCACATGAGGAATCTGTAAAGTAAATCACACTCCTAGCCAGGTGGCTGACTGTGAATTCCTCGCCTCAGGTTTGAACAATCAATTCACCATCAATCACAGTTCAAAATATTCTCTATGCATTTTTTCACCACCTACCGTGTAGTTATTATTGATAATCATTCTCTCTGTTTCGGTGGTTGATTCTGGCTCATCTCTCACACTCCTGACGTAGGCCACATAATCTATAACACTTTAGTCAGACCTCGTTAAGTTGAAGCAACCATATATTATGAACACTTAAAATCTTCTAAAGTGTACATTTGATTTATTGTTTCTGCATTCATAATAGTGAGTTGTTATGAGTTAACATGTTTCCACATCAAACACAAATGCTCAGACATTGCTGTGGTGTTTAGTCTGTCATCTGATAGTTTGCTTTACACATAGGGAAGAAGTTGGAAAAATATTACATGAAACATTTAAATTTGATTCCCCAGAAACAAATAGCTTAGAGTGTTGTATGTAAATCCATTTATGCCTCAGCTGGGGGAAAATAATAATAAATAATAAAAATAGGTAAATCGGATAGTTTATATCTTCATATCTTACAATTGAGACTTAATAATAATTTATTAATCATAATCGTGACTTTACATATTGCAATGTGAGTTGTCTATGTCTGACAACTGGCACTTTATTTCTCATAACTGCAACTTTATTTTTAATAACTGAGACTTTATATCTTGCAATTGTGACATATTTTAATTGTAACTTTATTTTGTAATGTATCTTTTCTTCTTTGTCGTTTTCTTTTGTCTTACAATTACATGTTTTATTATTTACACTTGAGCAGAAACCAGCAAAGCTGTCATTATGGAATCTCCATGTTATTGCTCCATTGATTTGTTTGTGGTCCTTAATCTAATACAGCCGGAAAAAAAATATGCTCATTTAACAGAGGCTAACATAAATATGCATTCTGTAGCGCAGAATCAAGAACAGTTTAGCAGAGATTGATTTACAGTATGCCATTCTGCTGTTTACTCCCTCTTTTGCTGCTGTTTCATAACAGAATTCATAAGCATTGCTCTTTGTCCGTGGGCATAAACAGATGGAAGTACAATGGAAGCCTCTGGAAAGCATAAAATTGACATTTGTGAAGTTGTGGCCGCCTCTAGTGACAGTCAGTGGTGTCGGCACCACTACAGTTAATCCAGTGTCATCCCAATGGTATAGTGCATTGCTCATTCTAGTGTTCACTGTCAGTCTGCGTGTAGTGTCATAGATGTTACTGTTGTGACAGCTCCTCGCTTTTCATGTTCCCCTGACCTGCCCTGACAGTCCCTCTGTTCATTTGTCTTGCAGCTCTGCTGGGAGCAGAACCTGTTCTCACAGGATCAGTACCTACCAACTGGAACCTCCTGCATGTCAGATTTACTTCAGATCAAATTAAATAGGCACTACCAGGTTACTAAGTCACAAAGAATAAAAATCAACATAAATGCAGTTATTTAGGGTAAATTTATTCATCCATGTCACTTTGGTTGATCTTGTTCTTAGTTTGGTTTCTTAGTCAGGATCCTGACACTTATGTGGTGTATTGTCTTATCTTTGTGTGAGCATGCAGCTTTGAGTTGCTCTCCCGTCCATGTGGTGTGCTGTGTGTTCAGGGCATGGTGTCTGTATCTTGACACTCCTATCTGGTTGAGTTTCGGTTCGGTGATGGGGTCCGGTTGGGGGTTCTTTGTTTTTCTGTTGATGTTCTCTCTACAGTCTGAATACCTTACACTTAGGTCTATATATATTTGGACACTGACACAATTTTCATAATTTCGGCTCTGTATGCCACCAGAATAGAATTAAAATGAAACAATCAAGATGAAATTGAAGTGCAGACTTCAAGCTTTAATTCAAGGGGTGGAACAAAAATATAACATAAAAAGCTTAGGAATTACAACCATTTTTATACACAGTCCCCCCATTTTCAGGGGCTCAAATGTAATTGGACAAATACATATAATCATAAGAAAAATTTTCATTTTTAATATTTTGTTGAGAATCTTTTGCAGGCAATGACTGCCTTACGTCTGGAACTCATGGACATCAGAGACTGGGTTTCCTCCTTTGTGATGCTTTGCCAGGCCTTCACTGCAGCTGACTTCAGTTATTGTTTGTTTATGGGTCTTTCTGCCTTTAGTTTTGTCAGGTTGAAATCAGGAGGCTGACTTGGCCATTGCAGAATATTCCACTTTTTTACCTTCAAAAACTCCTGGGCTGCTTTTGCAGTATGTTCTGGGTCATTTTCCATTTGTACTATGAAGCACCGTCCAATCAACTTTGCTCCATTTGACTGAATCTGGCCAGAGAGTATATCTCTATACACTTCAGAATTCATCCGGCTGCTTCTGTCCTCTGTCACGTCATCAATAAACACCAGTAACCCACTGGAAGCCATGCATGCTCATGCCATCACACTGCTCCTCCATGTTTCACAGATGAAGTTGTAAGCTTTGGATCATGAGCTGTTCCAAGCCTTCTACTTTTTTCTTCCCGTCATTGTGGTACAGGTTGATCTTAATTTGAGATGACCAAAGAATGCTTTTCCAGAAGTGGTCTGGCTTTTTTAGATGTTTTTTGGTAAAGTCTAATCTGGCCTTGTTTTCACCTTGTGATGAACCCTCTGTATTTGTATTTGTACTTGATTGTAGACTTGATTGTAGGCTGGATGTTGTGAAAGGGTTTTTCTTTACCATGGAGAGGATCCTCCAATCATCCACAACTGTTGTCCTCCGTGGACGTCTAGGCCTTTTTATGTTGCTGAGCTCACTAGTGCGTTTTTTTTTTTTCTCAGAATGTACCAAACTGTTGATTTGACCACTCCTAATGTTCCTGCTATCTCTCTGATGGATTTGTTTTGATTTTGAAGCCCAACAATTGTCTGTTTCACCTGCATAGAGAGATCCTTTGACCGCATGATGTGGGTTCACAGCAACAGCTTCCAAATGCAAATGGCACACTGTCCAATTACTTATGGTTGAAAAAGGACGGAGGTACATATTAAAGAGCTGTAATTCCTTAACCTTTCCTCCAATTGTGATGAGAATA